ACTTTTCTAAAGTAAACAAACATCCTTCATTATAAATGCATTGAATATAAATCTTGCTAGGTTTTTAATTAGTTAAGACCTTGCTATTATTAAATTAACGATACTAATTTAAATAATTTTAGTGAGTTATTGGATTTTGTTTCCTATAACTTTTATATTTATTTTTGTTTAGTTTTACTTCTAAACCATTTAAATGTTTCTACACGCATGAAATGATAATTAAAGATATATTACGAGTTGAAGGATAAAATCCCTTATAAGTAACCAGGGGCGTATTCAGGAATTTGTCCAGGGGGGGGGCTTACATTTTTTTTTCTCTTTCCAGGGGAGGGGGGTCAGCACCCGTTGGGGCCTGAAAACCCCCTAAAATCAATAGATTTCTCTGGTCCAGGGGGCTTAGCCCCCATAGCCCCCCCCTGAATACGCCTCTGCAAGTAACATCGTATTTCCACAACAAATTTTATTGTTAAAAACTAAATTAAAGCTAAAACTAGGATTACGGTTAAGTTAGAAATTTAATTCTGTAGTCTGTACTTGCTAGAACATGAAAAAGAAAAAATTCCGAGTAAAAAGAATTAGAGAGACTATAAAACGTAAACATCAATAAATAAATGAATGTTTATTGGATTATTTATATTTTATAAACGCCAAGGGATAGTGCGCCCTTTTTATTAATAGAACCTCACACGACTCAAGGAAAGGGGTTCATGGCCGGTCGAAATAAAAAGATTGAAATCGAATAAAATTCGATAATAATGTTTCAGGATATTCACCTACAAACACAGGAAAATCCCTGTAGTTTTAGTAGTTTTTATAACGAAAGAAGAAAAAATGAGGCAAGAAAGGCAATATTATGCAGCAAAAATTGTAAATTTATATATTTCTGAAATATTAAATATCTGTTTTCCTGCTCAAATATGTAAACTTGCTATTAAAAGTTTTTCAGACAAAAGTTCTGATGCAATGACACTAAATCATTTTTTTTAGAATTACGCAAAAGCAAAGGGGATGAATTAAAATTTCTTTCTCAATTGATAATATTTTTTGGTTTGATCTTGCTCAGATATTTTTTAAAAGAGATCCAGACAAATTACTGTTGGTTGAAAATTTGTTTTGATAAATTAAGAAAAGGATATTTTATTTCATTTCAAACTTTGTTTCTAATTAAATTTAAAATATCTAATATGGTTTAAAATATCTAATATGGTTTATTGAATTGAATTGTTGGATATCCAACAAAGGAAAATATTTCAGATCGAGACGACTGTACGGAATCAACTTTCCCTGCAACTCTAAACTTGTCTTTATTTTGTCAAATTTATCAGTTAATACATAAAACTATTGGAAAGGCACAACTCCTATTTTAACCCTAGGATCGTCATGTATTTTAAAAGTTTCAGGTCGTTATCACAGTCTCATGCTTTGTGGGTTTCCCTGTATCTCTCCCATGGCTCCGACGTACATGAAGGTATCAGGCAGAAAATAACAGGATATATATTAGTATGTCAATATTCAATGTTTGATGCCGAAACACGGTATCCTAATTACTGAAAACTCTTGTATTGGTTACCCTTAATCCTGATTACCAAATCTCTGTATCCACTGTTGACACTTTTGATTTTCTTAGTCCTCTCTTTTATATATCCCTGCTGGATTCCGACCAATGAGAGTTCTCTCATTGATTGCGCGCAAAATGTAAAAAAAATCTCAGGCTTCTGCTTGGCTGTTCGGTTTCTAAAATCGACACTCCGATTGGTTGCATTTCAGATACTTTCCAGCCTTCCAGGATATTAATGTAAGATTAAATTAATCTTACATTAATAAAAAGATACACAATTTTAAAGTTTTCAGCTCTGAACATTTTAACCCCCCCCCCCCCCTCCGGCATTATCTCCAAATATTATCTCATCTCAAACCATTTAAAAACACAATTTGATTAGTATTAGGTTTATTATTTTATAATTATACAAATGACATGTGGGGTTAACTCAATACAATTGTACTTAAAATCACAATCATTAGGATAACTTACATTAGAAAAGTAAAATAAATTTCAATAACGTATTTATTATTTTAACCGGTGGCCGAATTTAAAGAATTTTAGCGGCGGTTTAAATTTAAGCCGCGGCTTAAATATGGTTGGTTCCACTTAAAATTGTATCAGATGTTTCAAGATTTAAACCAGCGCTTAATTTAAACCGGGTTTTGGCGGATTTAAACCGCGGCTCAAATTCTTTAAATTCCATCTCGGTTTACAGATCATCTGCTGTTTTTACATATCAAGGATTATAGATGTATGGGTCTGCTGTTTTTACATATCAAAGATAATAGATGTATGGGTCTGCTGTTTTTACATATACAATATTTGTTATCAATCTTTTAGAAAGCTTTTAAGTGTCAAAATTAGAAACAATTTTTTACCATACAAAACGAGGAAGGCAAATTACATCAATACTGAGAACAAGTCACATTTTTATCATATTTCATATAAACCACCTCTAAAATTTCGTTTTTTCCTCAGAAATCAAAATCTTTATTTTTATGATTTTTCAAATTTTGTGTACATGGAATTTATCCAAACATCATGGAATTTTCGCTAGGGTTTCATGAAAAGATAAAAGGCATTGTTTAAAAGGTCTTTTAAAATAAATTTTAAATCCTAAAATTCCGCCATTAGACATCACATGAGCAAACACGGGAAAAACAAGTTTCACCAAAAAATGAGAATTATATTATGCAAATCATATTACAGTTTCTTTAGGGAACTGTAAAGGTATCCCAAGTGACTCTACATTGAGAGAGTACCATGTCAGATTCAAAACAGTAAAAAGCTGTAGTCTGAACAAGTATGAACACAAAATCAATTTTCTTCTGTTTTTGAAAACTGACTATTACTTTCCAAAATGACGTTGGTTAGGTTAGGTTAGGTTAGGTTAAGATAGGAGAGGAAAGGTTTGGATAGGATAAAAACAGGATTGAAATACTGACCCGAGTACCAATACATGCTGAGGCACATTATTCAATATAATATTGGAATCAAGGGATAAACATTATTCAATATAATATTGGAATCAAGGGATAAACATTATTCAATATAATATTGAAATCAAGAGATAAACATTATTTAATATAATATTGGAATCAAAGGATAAACATTATTCAATATAACATTGGAATCAAGGGATAAACATTATTCAATATAATATTGGAATCAAGGGATAAACATTATTCAATATAATATTGAAATCAAGAGATAAACATTATTTAATATAATATTGGAATCAAAGGATAAACATTATTCAATATAACATTGGAATCAAGGGATAAACATTATTCAAAATAATATTGAAATCAAGGGATAAACATTATTCAATATACTATTGGAATCAAGGGATAAACATTATTCAAAATAATATTGGAATCATGGGATAAACATTATTTAATATAATATTGGAATCAAGGGATAAACATTATTCAATTTAATATTGGAATCAAGGGATAAACATTGTTCAATATAATATTGGAATCAAGGGATAAACATTATTCAAAATAATATTGGAATCAAGGATTAAACAATATTCAATATAATATTGGAATGGTGCCATGACAAACTCCTGGAAGACAAACTCCTGAAAGACAAACTCCTGAAAGACAAACTCCGGAAAGACAAACTCCTGAAAGACAAACTCCTGACAAGACAAACTCCTGAAAATTAATATAATATTGGAATCAAGAGATAAACATTATTCAATAAATATTGGAATCAAGGGATAAACATTATTCAATATAATATTGGAATCAAGGGATAATCTGTCAACATAATTTCAAGTCACCCTAAATTACCAGCACTACTTCCCTGATATAAACAATGTGGAATTGTGATATTGTCGTTTTTCTTTCTTAAAAAGATAAATTCACCCTTTCGCTGCGGTATTAATCTGAAAATCAATGTAAAGTGAACCACCATTGAAAATAATCCATTTTTAGAGAGGAAACAGGGATAACTCCATGAAATTACGTCTTTAGTTTCTTCAACTAAACTATGAAGGAGGTAGTCTAGGTTTAGATAAATCTTAAATATATGAAGTTGGGATAATTTTGTCGTCGTATATGTCAATTCAATGAAGACGACTTTATATTATAATTTTAATTTCGACTAAGCTTTAAAACTGCAGAAACACTTAAACATTTTTAAAAAAAGTTTTCAATTAACAGCTTCTCTCTTTTTTACTTGTAAACTTGTTATTTTAAAAATGCTTGCCAGGGATCAAAGCATTTTAAAAATTCGCTTTATTGTATTGATAAAATCGCCGACAACTGTGAATGCCGAGAAAATAGAATGACCTATATTAATCCTGAAATTCAGGCTCAAATATTTTGATTTCAGATGTGGATTCTTACCAGGGTTATCAATCATCATGTCATAAAATTTTCTGACATGATTTAAAACTTTTATTTTAATGCGATGTGGGTCACTCTGAATTTTCTTTCTTTTTATCTTCTAAATGTTAAATTACTACTTTTCTCTCCATTGTATCAAAATACTTCATAAATGCTCTTTCTCCCAATTGCCGCTCCTTCATCCTTCTGCAGCTTCCTATCCTTCCCCGATCTTGTCACTCCTATATCCCCTTGAGCTTCTTATCCTTATCTGATCTTGCCGCTCCTTTATCCTTCTGCAGCTTCCTATCCTTCCTCGATCTTGTCACTCCTATATCCCCTTGAGCTTCTTATCCTTATCCGATCTTGCCGCTCCTTTACCCTTCTGCAGCTTCCTATCCTTCCTCGATCTTGTCACTTCTAAATCCACTTCAGCTTCCTATCCTTGTCATATTTTGCCGCTCCTTCATCCTTCTGCAGCTTCTTGTCCTTCCCCGGTCTTGCCACTCCTTCATCCTCCTGCATATCGTTTGACCTCCTGCAGGTTCTTATCCTCCCTCGATCTTCCTCTCCCAATCATGCTGCTTCTCTAATTTTCAATTTTTTCGCTTTGTCGAATCTCACCACTCCTGCTCCTTCTCTTTTCACCATCTCCTGCTCCTTTTTTCACCATCTCCTGGTCCTTCTCTTTTAGCCATCTGCTGTCCTTCTCTTTTAGCCATCTTCTTGTCTTCTCTTTACACCATCTTCTGGTATTTCTCTTTTCAACGTATCATGGTTCCATTACACAATCTCTTATCATGGTCCTTCTCTTTTCCCCATCTCCTGGCCCTCCTCCTTTCACTATCTCCAGGGCCTTCTCTTTTCACCATCCCCTGGTCCTTCTCTTTTCACCATCTCCTGGTCCTTCTCTTTTCGCCATCTCCTGATCCTTCTCCTTACACTATCTCCTGGGCCTTCTCTTTTCACCATCCCATTGTCCTTCTCTTTTCACCATCTCCTGATCCTTCTCCTTACACTATCTCCTGATCCTTCTCTTTTCACGATCTCCTGATCCTTCTCTTTTCACAATGCCCTCCTCCTTCTCTTCACAATCTCTTGTTCCTTCTCTTTATCATTGTCCGTCCAAATTGTCCGTTCTCCGACCCTCCCTGATAAGTGATTACACGATCACAGATGCTCTGTTCCCTCTGTTTTCTAGTTTATCAAGGCTGAAATTAAAATAAATTAAGTTTTTGCCATAAACTGAAATTTTCAAATCCCTATATCTTTGCAATCTGATGGTCTAAATCTATGATTGGATTATTTGATCTGAATTCAATAGCATATAGTGCACGTTGCAAAGATAAAATCGTGAGGACATGTTGAGCTAAATATATAGTCGCGGGAAGTTGCCATTTTTTAGGAGAAGCGGTGGGGGGGGGGGGGGGGTCCAGGGCCACCGAATAAGAAACTTTTTTAAATAACAAAAAAGCAAAACAAAGTACAAGCACTTCATTTTGATTTTGAGTAATCAAGATTTCTCATCATCTCATTATTATTTCTAGGTTTCGATCAAAAGAAAAACTTTTACATAATGTTTCGTGAAATTTTTCATTTTTATCATTTGAGATTATAAATTTACAAAAATTCAAAAGAGTTAATAAGACTTTGAACATGTTTAAGCCCAGGAGAGTTCACGAAACCTTGAACATTTCCTACAATCTTATACACCAGGAAACCAAGAAACCAGGATGGAAATCAGGATAAAAACCAGGATGAAAACCGGGATGAAAACCAGGATGAAAACAAGGAGGAAAACTAGGATTTAAGCCAGGATGAAAACCAGGATGAAAAACAGGATAGAAATCAGGATGAAAACCAGGATGAAAACCAGGATGAAAACCAGGATGAAAACCAGGATGAAAACCAGGAGGAAAACTAGGATTTAAGCCAGGATGAAAACCAGGATGAAAAACAGGATAGAAAACCAGGATGAAAACCAGGATGAAAACCAGGATGAAAACCAGGATGAAAACAAGGATGAAAACAAGGAGGAAAACCAGGATTTAAGCCAGGATGAAAACCAGGATAAAAAACAGGATAGAAATCAGGATGAAAACCAGGATGAAAACCAGGATGAAAACCAAAATCAAAACCAGGATCAAAACCAGGATGAAAACCAAGATCAAAACCAGGATCAAAACCAGGATAAAAACCAGGATGAAAGTCAGGATAAAAGCCAGGATGAAAACCAGGATGAAAACCAGGATAAAAACCATGATATGGAAACCAAAAGGGAAACCGAAATGGAAACTAGGATGAAAACCCGGATGAAAGCCAGGATGAAAGCCAGAATGAAAATCAGGATGAAAGCCAGGAAGAAAGCCAGGATTAAATCCTGTAAACCAGGATAGAAATCAGGATGAAAACCAGGATGTAAACCAGGATAAAGCCAGAAAGAAAACCAGGGTTGAAATTAGGATGGAAACCAGGATGAAAACCAGGATAAAACCAGAATGAAAACCTGGATGAAAACCAGGACGTAAACTAGGATGAAAACTAACCTGTATGGTTCTCTCTCCTCCTGTGTTGAGTTTAGTGCACTGTAATCTATTGGAAAGACACTGCTCTGATCCTGAATCAAGCAATATTTATTTCAAGAAATTTATTCCACTTCAATCAATGAATAAAAAATATCCAAAAGGGAATATATATACAGTGAGGACTTATGCCAAAAAGATACTATCTTGAGATTACATTCCCTTTAGAATTTTTTTAAATACAAATACTCCTCCATTGATAATCATATCAACTTTTTTAAATTCCACTTTTCATATTGCAATTTTCTTTTTTAAATATACTTTGGGAAAATGTTTTTTTTGTGAAAATATCTGTTGGGAATTAGAGATATAACAGTAGGATTTGAGAACAAATTTCAAATGGAAGAATAATGATTTTTTCAGTAAATTCAGCCATCTTATGTCACACATCAAATTAACATGAAAACTAATATTTTTTTATTTGTCTCTAAAGTTTAAAAGCAAAGTTTCTCAGTCAAAGGATTTTTTAGAACGAAATCTTCAAGCTATTTAGTGTTCATAATTTACATTATTAATTACAGAAAGTTTTCTATAAATAGTTTTGTTGTTTAAAAGATTATCCAGCGAAACTTTGCAAAAAAGTTTCAGGAATAAAGGGGAATGTTGAGTTTAGGGGGGGGGAATAATTAAGTGGAGACAGTCTTGAGGTAGATTTTAACCTCAATTTCTAGACTCTAATTGTTCTTTAAAATTAATTGTTTCTTTCGCAGGAAATTTAAACATAAAATACAAATTTCTATCTTGGTTTTACTTCTACATTAAAAAGTAATAAATTTTCTTTTTTTTAAAAGAATGACGTAAACTAATTTTCAGTTTTCACGAAAACGTTGATATTTTCTAAATAAATCCTATATAGCTCACCTTGACCTCCACTGTACCAAACAGAAACTGTCCTGGACCATTTGGTTGTTTTCCAATTAGAAAATTTAGAAAACTGAGTTTATAAACATGGAAGGTTAGAGGAACATCTCCTCCACTTGTCAGAGCATTGAACGCCTTCACACATTTTTCTTTATCGACACCTTGAAATATTCATGACCGAGTGTTTAGACTACAATCAGAATGAATAATTTAAAGAACTGTCCCAGAGGGAATAGTTCACATACTTTATAAACAAATCTATTTATACTTATTTGACTGTTTAAATATGCAGGATCGTGTCAGGGTATCACCTCAAGCTATAATGAATAATGTACACTTTTTGTGTATTATTTTCTAAATTTACGGCCAATTGGGAATTAAAATCATTTCTTATGTCTTTGTCTTTGTTACTTAATTGAATGCTGTAGAAAGGACTTTTGTAATTAAATTGAAATAATTTGACAAATATTCCTTATATAGCTACAATCCACCCCTTTTACAACATAAAAAATATTTTTGTACTGATATTTTAAAGACTAAGAGAAAAGTTCAATTTCTTAGGATTTGGAGACCTTTACCAGAATGAAATCCAGTAGTATCCTATCCAAGGAATCCAGTAGTATCCTATCCAAGGAATCCAGTAGTATCTAGCATATAGTGCACGTTGCAAAGATAAAATCGTGAGGACATGTTGAGCTAAATATATAGTCGCGGGAAGTTGCCATTTTTTAGGAGAAGCGGGGGGGGGGGGGGGGGTCCAGGGCCACCGAATAAGAAACTTTTTTAAATAACAAAAAAGCAAAACAAAGTACAAGCACTTCATTTTGNAGGAATCCAGTAGTATCCTATCCAAGGAATCCAGTAGTATCCTATCCAAGTATCCAAGTCTAAGATTAAGAATTTATAAGATTAATCCGAGCTCTATAAATTGGTTCTTGAATAATGTAGATCTAACGTCTGCCCAACACACACAATATCAACTTCTTCCTTTTCACATTTATTTCCTTTTTTAAATTCTTCTTCTCTCTCTCTTCTTAAAATCTTCCTATCTTTCCTCATTCTTCTCTCTTCCTATCCTTATTCTTCTCTATTCCTATCCTAATTCTTCTCTCTCTTTAAATCCTAATTTTTCTCTCTTATTATCCTAATTCTTCACTCTTCCTGTTCACATTTATTCCCTTTTTTATATTCTTCTTCTTCCTTCCTGTACTTATTCTTCCCTCTTCCTATCCTCATTCTTCATCTCATTCTTCCCTCTTCTTATATCATTCTTTTCGCTTCCTTTCCTCGTTCTTCCCTTTTCCTATCCTTATTTTACCCTCTTACTCTCCCCATTCTTCTCTCTCCCTGTCCTCATTTTTCCCTCTCCTTATCCTCATTTTACCCTCTTACTCTCCCCATTCTTCTCTCTCCCTGTCCTCATTTTTCCCTCTTCTTATCCTAATTTTTCCCTCTTCTTATCCTCTTTCAACTATTCCTATCCTAATTTTCCCCTCTTCCTGACCTCTTTCTTCTCTCTCCAACTATTCCTATTCTTATTTTTCTTCTACCTATTCTCATTCTTCTCTCTTTCAATTTTCATCATTCTCTTTATTTCCTGTTCCTATTTTCTTTATTCCCTATTCCTATTCTCTTTATTCCCAGTTCCCATCCTTATTCTTCTCTCCCCCCTTTAGTAACTTCAATAAAGGAATATTTGAATAGAAGACAAAACCTAATATATTCTTTGATCAGAAGAAATGGACTCGACATTTTTACATTTTGACAGAAAAATTCCAAAGTATAAACATAGCCAAAAAACACCTAATATCAATTAAACAGAAAAGAAAATTCTGATCCATTCCTAGCTAAATTTGACAATTGACAATACTTTTGTAGAATGTTCTCGAGATGTTCTACATTGTTTTAAAAAGTTCTGTGGAAATACAAACATATTATGATAACTTTTAACAAAATTGCAACTGAAAGGTTTTGAACGTTAAATCTAGAAAATGTCTGATAAAAGGTCAAAAATATAGAGTTTTCTTCAGCTGTCAAACTTATTTTATTTAATTTAATATTTGAAGAAAAATTCCTTGTCTGTTTCTCTTGAGAGAGATAAATCTCCCAACCGTCCTGCGTCCATGAAGGCAGTAAAGAACAGTTTCAGCTCCTTCTTTGATATCTCACCTAAATAAGTCATTTTTAATCAGGAACCACAGGAATTGAGTCATTGCCGCAAAATCAAATTTTCTAATTTCTATAGCTTTGCAACCTGATGTTGTTAACCATTAATATTTATAAAGCGACGTAAATCGGTCGATATACTGTTGAATAAAAGAATACTATTCCAGTATTCTCCCTGGGTTTATCGTAACCCTGATCCTTTTCTACTTTATTAATTAAATCCAAGAAATCAGTTTGCGTAGTTCAATCTAAACAATAGAAAGATCACCTTTATTTAGATAAAATAAACATGAAATATATCTAAATACAATAAGAATAAAGTGAACTGTGTTCAATCTTGGAATAGACTTAATAGAATTTAATTATTATCTTGCAATTTTCTAGTATTATCTCCTGATTATCTCATGATTATCTCTAATCAAGATTATCTCATGATTATCTCATGCTTATCTCAGTATTATCTCAGTATTATCTCAGGATTATCTCAGGATTATTTCAGTATTATCTCAGTATTCTCTCAGGATTATCTCAGTATTATCTCAGGATTATCTCAGGATTATTTCAGTATTATCTCAGTATTATCTCAGGATTATCTCAGTATTATCTCAGGATTATCTCAGTATTATCTCATGATTATCTAAGTATTAACTCAAGATTATCTCAAGATTATCACTGGATTAACTAAGTATTATCTGAGAATTTTTTCAGGATTATCTCAGGAGTATCTCAAGATTATCACTGGATTATCTCAGGAATATCTCAAGATCATCTCATGATTATATCAGGAATATTTCAGGATTATCTCAGGATTATCTCAGGATTATCTCAGAATTATCTCAGAAATGTCTCAGGATTATCTCAGAAATATCTCAGGATTATCTAAGAAATATCTTAGAATTATCTCAGAATTATCTCAGAAATATTTAAGAAAAATCTTTGAATTATCTGCGAACTTTTAAACCTGACCTTTCAGTGATATTTGGAAAAAAAAGTTACAATCAGTAAAATGTACTGTAAAGAGTATTTTTTTGCAGTTAAAGGGAGTGTTCGTGAAAAATGAAAGGGGGTATAGACTTAATGCGACAAAAAAGCGCTTTTGATTGCTACTAATTTTACTTCTATCTGTTGCGTCTATAAGGAGAAAATTGTTATAGACGTCTCATACCGAATAACTCTTTTAATGAATCATCATGACAAATATGTTGGTTTGTATGTTATCTATTATACCCTTTAACAATTTTATATTCGGTCTTGTTCGTGCATTCCTTACCTAGAGTCTAAACTTAATGTTTTTGATAGAATTCATTTATTTCCTTTAAATTTCTATTGATTTAATTGGAAATGGGAAAATTGTAATCCGATGACGTGGCATTTGGTAGAATTGGAAGAAGAGTAGATATCTTCATTATTCTGACAATATACATGCAATATGCATATACATACATTTATATATATTTATTAGATATATGGATATATGTATAGTATGTATAATTATGTGTTCTCAGCAATTTTATTTGTATGTTTGTTGAGTCTATAATGTACAAAGGGCTCCAAAAAAGTGAGATTAACCAAATTAGAATGTGTTTAGAGTCAATATAAATATTGAAACCGTCCGTTTTTAATTGAACTGAAAAAGTAATTGAACTTTTCCCTTTCAAAGTAAGTTCTTTTAGTTTTATTTCTTCAGGAAAAATTAGCTAATTTCTGTCTATCTTAAGAAAAATGTTGCTAGAAGATTAGAAATCAAAATGTTGCTAGAAGATTAGAAATGAAAAGTGTTGCTAGATTAGAAATGAAAATGTTGATAGAAGATTAGAAATGAAAAATGTTGCTGGAAGATTAGAAATGAAAAGTGTTGCTAGATTAGAAATGAAAAGTTTTAAAAGGGAATATTTATAATTTTAGAGTAGTGATAAATGCCACTTAAACATTTTAATTGTTCTCAAATATTATTTCTGAAGGTTTTGTTTACTTTAGTCTTGTATATATATGTATATCACTCGGTACACCAACTACACAGCAGTGTCCATTTGATTCACCGACAAAGGGTCAAACGACCCAGGGTCAAACGACACAGGGTCAAACGACAAAGGATCAAACGACACAGGGTCAAACGACAAAGGGTCAAAAACGCGACAAAGGGTCAAACGACACAGGGTCAAACGACAAACGGTCAAAAAATGCGACAAAGGGGCAAATTTTTTTAATTCTGTCAGTTAGTATTTTTTTTATTATTATTTATGCTTTGGTTAGGTACATTCTGGGCCGAGCGCTGCGGCTAGGACAGGCTAGGGGGCCGAGCGCTGTGGCCACATGGTGAATTATATCCATTTATTTATTATTATTTAGGGTTAGGTTAGGTTAAGACACTTTCTGGGCCGAGTAATATTTTTATCATTTTGACCTTTTGTCGTTTGACCCTTTGTCGCACTTTTGACCCTTTGTCGTTTGACCCTTTGTCGTTTGACCCTTTGTCGTTTGACCCTTTGTCATTTGACCCTGTGTCGTTTGACCCTGTGTCGTTTGACCCTGGGTCGTTTGACCCTTTGTCGGTGAATCGTCCATTTGACATTTAAAAAAAAAAAATGTTGTTTGTTTATTTTCTTGTAGTTTTTTAACATTTTTTTACTATTGATTTCAATGGTTACTTTATCGTTAGAACTGAAAAGGGTGAACCCAGACAAAATATATTTTCCATAAAATTTGGAACTAACATCTACTTCTTTTACTCTACAGAGGTTTGTTCCATCACCATCACCGAATTTTCAATATATTTGGCTTAGCTCTTTTAGGCAGGGCTAGCTGGTTCAACTAGGTTAAATTTTCAATATATTTGGCTTAGTTCTTCTAGACAGGGCTAGCTGGTTCAACTAGGTTAAATTTTCAATATATTTGGCTTAGCTCTTTTAGGCAGGGCTAGATGGTTCAACTAGGTTAAATTTTCAATATATTTGGCTTAGTTCTTCTAGGCAGGGCTAGCTGGTTCAACTAGGTTGACGCGACCTGATTTAAGGCTGAATCTGGAGTTAAAATAACTAAAGAGGAAATTTTGCGTGATATGTGTTTATATATAAAAATACTAAAGTTTACATTAAGCTTATCTACATATATTAAGGAAAGAAAGAGAAAGGTTATCAAATTACTCTCTCTTAGTTTAGATAAATAATTAGAGGACAGAACGTACACAATTTATATATCTTTATGTATCTTCTACACACACATACATACATTGTAGAAATAAAATTAAAACAGAAATAAAGAGACTGCTTTTCTATAAAGATTAGTAATCTACAACATCAAAGCATAATTTCAGATTTTAGAAATTATCGTGAAATATCGGGAATGTAAGCGTAATTTCAAGTGGCATTCCATGTGAAGAGATGACAATACCCGAGTTACAACGGTTTCCTTATAAGCTTTGTTTGATAAATTGTGAATTTTTTCGTTTGAGGTTTCTCTGTAAAAAGAAACACTAAAGAAATTATCAGAATTAATTTCTTTTCGACGCTATATTCCACATTTATGATTAGATAAGGGTTTTAAGATACCGTTGTAAAACGGACATTGTCATTTTTACAAGGAGGGTCACTTGAAACTACACTTTCAGTTTCTTTAAGTACTTGAAAATACGCATAATATCAACATTTTTACCTCATTCTCCCCCCCCCCCTAAAAAAAACACACACAGTTTTTGGTAAATTTTGTCAATATTATTGGAGAGCTCCATGTGCGGAACTAGTGTTTATCGTCCAACGACGACTTTCTGTTTAATCTATGAATTCCATAGATAGTTAATAATTAAAATATAAAACACCTGTTCCACTCCTGTTTATTGTGTCAAACAGTGTCTTCGGATAGTATTGTAACCACATCGGTAGATCAGCTAGTTTACGGGCTTTTCCTATATGTACAAGTATGCACATGTAAAATGTATTAAAAAATGTTTGGGAGGGGCGTACCAAAAAAACCTTAAAGGTAGAGTTTTTTTTAAAAAAAATCAATAGCAAAATAGAAAATCCAAAACTTCAAAATGTTTTAACTTAAACCTAAAATTAAGGTTGAAAATAGATAACGCTGTTATGCGAACAAATTATTATTTATGCATATATGATTATACATGCTTTGCAGACGATACTTCATTTGAATAAGAAATATTTGTCTGATGTACAATTACCGCGTATACAATAACCTATTCTGAATATATCTTTTACAAATGTAGTACCCGTCTGCAAAGCATGTATAATCATATGGTAGGGCGGGCCGCGTCAGTTGTATCTCCCTTCTATTTCATACTCCTTGATTGTGACATTGTAAATACATATCTGTACAGTATGACCCTTAAAACTTTGGATTATGAAGAGAACATTTAAAGGAATTATGTGTATTTGATGTACCATGTTCATTGAATTTTTTGATATCATAACTTAGTGTTCATATTGCGAGCAGTTTCATGGCTTACTCCAGCTTTAAATGAAAGGATTAGTAGATGAAAATATCCTACCTACTGTTATACCCCAAACATCAACCCACTCATCTATAGAGACACAGACCTAGAGTAATAAGATCAGGACACTCGTTCCAGATAGTAAGAAATCAAATCTGTCACAAACTAAAATATTCTAAAACTAACATCCTTACATCTTGATTGTCTAAACTTTAAATGATTCAAGCCTAGATTACTAACAGAATCATTATTTTAAAAAAATATCTTTTGTTTACAACACTAGGCTGCAAAGATGTAGGGATTAGAAACTCATTGAGAAAACATTTAGAAAACTTTGCTTTCAGTGCAGAACTGTGTTGGCTTCAGAAGATGCTTAAAAAATATCTTTTTTTATCGGCAAAAAGTTTTCAATTTATTTTAGGAAAATAAAAAATTTTAAATGAAATGCTGATATCATTCAAATATGTGTTTTTTTTAAAATAAATTATTATTCACGAAGTTCTAAGAACGTCAAAATACAACCAGTTTGAAAAAAATCAAAATATCCGGTATTATCTGAATAAATAGAACAGAGTATGAGTAATCTTGATCTTTCCTTAGTTGTGTTTTGTTCTGTTCCTGAGCCCAAGTTCCGGAACGGATCACAGAAATCAAATGATTGGTCTGAAATCTTGGTTGAAGTGTTGAGGAAATGATCCAAGAAAAGACAGTGAACCTCTCTAGGTACATTGCATACGTTCCAGGCAATATGATATACATATTCAAGTATATATATAATGTGTATTTCAGTCGTCTTTGTTCTTTCTTTTGAGTAGAAATGCCGCGGTGGATTTGCAATTCTACTAAAAAAATTGTCTAACTTTCAGCTGTGAATTCCGCGGTTATCCTTATCTTTTGGCGTCCGAAGGATTAAACCATATTCTCTTGGATATTCCAGGGTGATCGTATCCTGCATGCAGGGACTATAACTATAAATTAAGGAATAAAGCACATTAACCTGAAACTTAAAAATGGTCAGATTGGATATCAAGATCAAGATCAAGGGCTAATTCCACGAAAGTTTAGACCTCAGAACATTTTCAGATCTACATCAAGGAAAACAGTTAAAAATGGCATTCTTAGTCAAAAGAAAGAGTAAAAGAACTGTTTATTGACTACCGCTGTATCCTTAATATTGACTTTTAGGAAAATATTAGCAAAGCATTCAGTTTATATAAACAAACTTGGCTGTTAACTTAATTATTGTTTGTTAAGTTTTGGTATTAAATGTTCGGTTTGGGATCTTCAGAGCTACAGCTTTAAAAGAGGGAAAGGGGCCAGGGAAGCGCTGTGGCTAGTATCAACATATGGTCAAGTATCATTTAGTTAGGAAGGTGTTAATGGGCCTGATGTCTAACTCCATTCGTGGTTTAGTTCTGCCATAGTAAATAAGCTGTAAAAAAGTTTTTAAAATTATAGATTACTTTGCCTCAATCCTTGAAATTTGAAATTGTAAATGTTAAATTTAGTATTTTTCTACAATTGCTTCAAACATCTGTTTCTTAAAATTTTAAAACATTAATTTTGTCTCCGTATACTTTCCTTAATGCAAGGAAATGAATGCTGTTTGAAGACCAATCCATATAATGACGAACTCTCTCGTTTAGACGGTCGAAATCCTCCTGGAATAGTTTAGAGAATACTTTATCAAAAAAAAATTGAATCCAATTTTTTTGGCAGCTTAAGAATGACAGATAACGAAAAAAAAACTTAGAACAATCCTATCGAATGGAACTAATTATTTGGTCCAAAATTCTTATTATCAAATTCTATATCTTTGAAAACTGATGTCCGAAGGTGAACCCTTTGATATTCAAAACGATGAACTCCTGCTAGATCAAAGGTTTACACCATCAGGTTGTAAAGAGTTAGAAGAGTTGAAGCGATTAATCAGTTCCCTTTGCTTTAAATGATTACATACAGTAAACCCCAATTAGCAGAATATTTTGAGGATTACAGAGAATAGAGAATAAGAAAATAGCATTATATCAATATAAAAATCAAAACTAAATATTCCTTGAAAAATAACTGAATATATCAACATCGTTTCAATCAAACCTTAGTTTTATCAAAGATTAGCATTTATGATACTTTTCCAGATTTCCAAGCTATCTGGGAAAGTTAGAAACCCTTTAGATATAAAAAATATACCAGTACAAACATCGGACTTATAAACGTCGAACGGGTACATTTATAAGGAAAAACGTCGGACTTTGGTTGAGCTTGAAAAAAAGACCATTGCTATAAGAAATAGATTAATAATCACTCACTTATTGTGATAAAAATCAAAGACAACTGAATAAAGTCTCATCCTTTGAAGGAAGCACTGATTAAAACAACAGACCAAATAGGACTTGAGTTCAATTGTCACAAACTGATGTGTCTTTCCAACCCGATGTCGTATAACCTTTAATATTTTAACCTAAGAAATCTAAAAGATTAAACAATTTAAGTTCGAAAGTATCAAAGGTTAATACCATTACCAGGTTGTAAAGATATATGGATGAGAATATTTGAGTTAGTGGCAAGAACTCAGTTTCTTTGGGTAGATTCTTATTAGACCAGTAGATAAAAGGAAATAACTTTTTTAAATTATTAAAAATTCAAATAATTTTTTCCCTTAGTCCGACGTTTGTACTGTCCGACGTTTGTACAGGTCCGATGTTTGTACTAATCTGATTTTTTCCTGGTCCAACGTTTGTACCGTCCGACGTTTGTGTGTCCGACGTTTGTACTGGTACCAACAAAACCCCTAACTTTTTACAGTTGAACTCATAAAACTGTGGAATAGGAAGACGACATTAACGCAAAAATACAAGATTTTCGCTGAAAATTAATTTATAATTATCATTACAATATTTTTACCTGAGAAATAACATGATCTGAATTGAGATCAAGAACATGATAGAAAAAATGTCGGAATTTAGCTCTCTGAAACTCTGTTATCTGATCCGAACCCTTTGGGAGATTTTTATATTTTTAGGTTTTAGTTGGAAACTGAATCATTTTTCCTTCGTTAAAAATAAATAAATAAAAGTATTTAGAATTGAAAGAAAGCAGAATAAAAGTTTTGAAATAAACTAATTATAATCTGTTGAGAGCAAATATAAAAACAGATAATCTCCCTTCTCAGTCTGTTCTGAGAACTCTTCACTGTAAGCCCTGACAAATATTCTTTTCATGCTGAGACAACAAGAGAATGGGAAGGGAGGGTAGGGTGGTAATGGAGGGCTAGGAACGAGAGGAACTAGAGGAACTAGAGGAACTAGAGGAACTAGAGGAACTAGATAAACTAGGAAACTAGAGAAACTAGAGGAACTAGAGGAACTAGAGGAACTAGAGAAACTAGAGAAACTAGCGGAACTAGAGGAACTAGAGGAACTAGAGGAACTAGAGGAACGAGAGGAACTAGAGGAACTAGAGAAACTAGAGAAACTAGAGGAACTAAAGAAACTAGAGAAACTAGAGGAACTAGAGGAACTAGAGGAACTAGAGGAACTAGAGGAACTAAAGGAACTAGAGGAAATAGAGAAACTAGAGTAACTAGAGGAACAAGAGCAACTAGAGGAACTAGAGGAACTAGAGGAACTAGAGGAACTAGAGGAATTAGAGGAACTAGAGGAACTAGTGGAACTAGAGGAACTAGAGGAACTAGAGGAACTAGAGGAACAAGAAGAACTAGTGGAACGAAAGGAACTAGAGAAACTAGAGGAACTAGAGTAACTAGAGGAACAAGAGTAACTAGAGAAACTAGAGGAAATAGAGTAAGTGGAAGAATTAGAGGAACTAAAGGAACTGGAGGAACTATAGAAACTAGAGAAACTAGAGAAAATAGAGGAACTAGAGGAACTAGAGAAACTAAAGGAACGAGAGGAACTAGAGGAACTAGAGGAACTAGAGGAACTAGAGGAACTAGAGAAACTAGAGGAACTAGAGGAGCTAGAGGAACTAGAGAAACTAGAGAAACTAGAGGAACTAGAGGAACTAGAGGAACTAGAGGAACTAGAGGAACTGGAGGAACGAAAGGAATTAGAGGAACTGGAGAAACTAGAGAAACTAGAGGAACTAGAGAAACTAGAGAAACTAGAGGAACTAGAGGAACTAGAGAAACTAGAGAAACTAGAGGAACTAGAGGAACTAGAGGAACTAGAGAAACTAGAGGAACTAGAGGAACTAGAGGAACTAGAGGAACTAGAGGAACTAGAGGAACTAGAGGAACTAAAGGAACCAGAGGAAATAGAGAAACTAGAGTAACTAGAGGAACAAGAGTAACTAGAGGAACTAGAGGAACTAGAGAAACCAGAGGAACTAGAGGAACTAGAGGAACTAGAGGAACTAGAGGAACTAGATGAACTAGAGGAACAAGAAGAACTAGTGGAACGAAAGGAACTAGAGAAACTAGAGGAACTAGAGAAAATAAAGGAACTAGAGTAAATAGAGGAACAAGAGTAACTAGAGAAACTAGAGGAAATAGAGTAACTGAAAGAATTAGAGGAACTAGAGGAACTAGAGGAACTAAAGGAACTAGAGGAAATAGAGAAACTAGAGTAACTAGAGGAACTAGATAAACTAGAGGAACTAGAGGAACTAGAGAAACTAGAGGAAGTAAAGGAACTAGATAAACTAGAGGAACTAGATAAACTAGAGGAACTAGAGGAACTAGAGGAACTAGAGAAACTAGAGGAACTAGAGAAACTAAAGTAACTTGAGGAACTAGAGAAACTAGAGAAACTAGAGAAACTAGAGGAACTAGAGGAACTAGAGGAACTAGAGGAACTAGTGGAACTAGAGGAACTAGAGAAACTAGAGAAACTAGAGGAACTAGATAAACTAGAGGAACTAGAGGAACTAGAGGAACTAGAGAAACTAGAGAAACTAGAGGAACTAGAGGAACTAGAGGAACTAGAGAAACTAGAGAAACTAGAGGAAATAGAGGAACTAGAGAAACTAGAGAAACTAGAGGAGCTATGTAGAGTACACAAACTATCAACAAACTAACCTATGAATAAAAGTACTCCAAATATGTTCCTTCCAGACAGATTTGCTCTTGGTTTCTGGTTCAGAACTCTCAGGTATGTCTGACAAATTTATTTAACTTTTAAATATAATTTCTTATTGGTTATTTAGACTTGATTGGTTGGTGTTTACGTCTCACCCCAGACTAACCAGAGTGAGAGGCGTTCTGTTTCTTCTATTTGAAGTCGTATGCGTTTTTGTCTATAATTAAACAATCTTTAAACTTACGGATTTGTTTGTGTTATACTTTTCATTCAAAAAGTATTTACCGGCAAAAAAGTATATAAGAAAAAAGGCAACAAAATTTTGTTTAATAGGTCAAATTCTGATTGAAAGTCAAAGCTTTCTGGATTTTTGAAAGAACCGTTAAATCCACGTGGTCTGCTCCCTTTTTTGATTTCATTAACAACTAATTTGTAAAGGAATTGAGTCTTTGCCACAAACTCTGGTTTTTTATTACCTATATCTGTGCAACCTAATGTCATAGACCTTAGATATTTCAAACTATACATTTTGTAAAGATCCATTAAATCTAAGCTTGAAATATCAAAGGTTTACTCCATCAGGTATAAAGGGATTAGAAAAGTTGAGTTGTGACAAAGACTGAATGGGAACGGGAAATCCAAGAAAATATGTATTATTCAATTCAAGATTACAAATTTAAATATAAGCTTAGTTTTCAACTTTGAATTTGAACTAGTTGCCTGAAATTTTGAATAAGAAATAGAATTTTTAAGAATTTTTTTATATGATTGTGTTAAATGTATCTGCCTGTATCCCGATGTATTTCCTGGCTGTTTGTACTCCTGTCCAAGTCCTCCTGTTCCTTATCTACAGATTTACCAAACAGGAATGTCCGCGTACCCCTACGCAATAATCTACGCAATATATAAATGTTCGGTTTGGACAAAAATTGCTGAAAACTTGAAGCTGATGTAAACTTTTGAATTTTAGAGCTTAGTTTGCCAGATAACGGAATTGAGTCTTTGCCTCAAACTCAAATTTTCTAAACTCTGTATGTTTGCAACCTGATGATGTAAAACGTTGATATTTTAAACGTAGACTATTTGATCTAACAGAATTCCAAGGGTGAAATATCTAAGGACCACAAAATTGGGTTGAAAAGATATAGAGATTAGAAAATCAGAGTTTGTGGCAAATTCTTTATAAGCTCATATTCATTCCAATCCTAACTGCATTGATTGGCCGAGTTGTACAATACATATGTTCCGACCTTTCATTGGCTGAAGTAGGCCATGCAATAAGAGAATGGTAAAATATGGGATTAGGTAACGGATTAGATTAAGGAATGAGGATATCTCATTCTGTCCGATCAAAAGTTCACGGCTTTGGTCTAATATATCTGTATCAAACACAAAATCATACGTTTTTAAATTCCGTCTGCATAAAAGGGTTTAGTGTTTAAATATTTATCGAAATATTTAAATCCTTTTCATCGTTTTTAAGTATTCAAAAGAAAAAAAGGTTCTCAAATCTACTTTAAAGGCCACTTAAAAGTTTTCAGAGTTTTCCAACAACATGTTCTTTGTTTCTTTAAAAAATAATGATGATAATAAATGAATTTAGTTTCTTATTTTTCAGATTGTTGTTTCTAAAAATATTTAAGAATTATTTTTATAAGTTAAATTTGACATTTGTTTTAACATTAACTGAAAAAAAGTACTTGCATAATTTTTTAATTATATAATCCAAATAATCCAGAAAATCATGAGAATTAAGATTTTTGATTTAACTGGAATCAAAGAGTTTGAATTTCTTTGTGTTGCACTGTAGACCCTTTTAATCCAAGATTGAAATTATCTCATTTATGTCCTTTGTCTTATAGTTAGGCTGGAACTGAACCCCGTACAAAGGATATAATATAATGTAGATTTCGATCTAATTAAGAAGCAAAATAATAGTTTATGAATTATACAATTTGTCTATAAAAATTCTTCTCTTGTGTAAATTATTTTCGTTTATATTAGCTGAGATCCATTCATCTCCTATGAAGTCCAAGTAAGCACATGAAGGTCCTCGCAATTTCACAAACTGTCAATATAGACTGTATTTTAAATTTAACTTTATTTAACTTAACATCTATAGATATAGTTGATTAGAAGTTGTATGTGTGTTCAAATGAGTTTTCTATTTTAGTTTGCTTCTATTTTAATTTTGTTTGCATTTTTATTATATATTTGTTTAAAATATGCATCGCGGTTTTTTGCAGATATCAGAATTTGCAAAAATTTGCAATTTTTAAAACAGAATTTCATAAAAATTTTAACATAAACATAATTTGTTTCCCGCTAATCTTGTTTTTGAAACCTAATTAAAACATATATTCCCCCCGACAAATTATGATTTTATAAAAGAACTGATTACTCGCCGCAAACTCTTATCCTAATCTCGTAGACTTTTGATACTATAAATACTGCTGAATAGAACAGCAAATGTTTAGAATATTAACCTCTTTTAAAGTAAAATTTTTAGATTTTAACTGCTGTCTCTCGAGTCGCCATTTTTTCATCATTATCCAATTTCATTTGAGTTACCACTAAAATTTGGTTCAGTTGTTCTGTCGCTTTTTGGATACAAACAGGCGAACATTCAAAATATAGATGTTATCCACCCGTCTCACCTTTTCTAACAATTTAAACTCGCTTCATAATCTTCATTAAGAATTCATACCTTATTAATAAAACTTTAGGAAAGACCTGTTAACTTTTAAAATATTCCATCTAGAAGCTGTATCAAGTTTTCTCATATATCATAAAATCAAGAAGTTTTGTTTAAATACAGAGGAGGTTTAGTTTAATACTGTATCTCAAGGCTGGACTACTAGATAAATATCTCAAGGTTGGACTACTAGAAAAATATCTCAGAGTGTTGAATACTAGATGAATATCTCCGGGTGTTGGAGATGAATATCTCCAGGTGTTTGAGATCAATATCTCAGGGTGTTGGATACTAGATGAATATCTCAGGGTTTTTGATACTAGATTATTATCTCAGGGTGTTGGAGATGAATATCTCAGGGAGTCAGATACTAGATAAATATCTCAGGGTGTTGAATACTAGATGAATATCTCAGGGTGTTGGAGATGAATATCTCAAGGCTGGACTACTAGATATATATCTCAGAGTGTTGAATACTAGATGAATATCTCCGGGTGTAATCCCAGGACCTCGAAAACCCCTAGTGGGAAACAACACCCCAACATTTATTTTTAATCTTTTCCAAATAATTGGTATTAGAAATAGTCCGTACGTTCTTCTTATATATTCCTTGGTTCAGAATCCTGCTAATCTCTGCTTCTTATGTTTCTAAATTCAATATCTCAGCTGCTGACACTGAACTCATGAGCAAATAATAATAATAAAATAATAATCCTTGCAAGTTTTCTGAAATTTGCAATCTCAGCAGGTTTGTAGATTGTTAAATGTTGATGACTATACTAAATATAGATCTATACACAATTAATGTTTCCTAGCTTTGTTGAAGGGTGAGGAAAGAAAAAAGAACACTGCACCAAACGTGGAATTTTGAAAATTTAAAGGACCAAATGACAAAAGTTTTGGCTAGGAGTAGATTATCAACAGTTGGAGTCTTGAAACTGATGTGCAAGAACATCTTGGGCAGTACTTGTAAATTATACTTGTGCACTTGATGTTTCTCCGCATTAGGAAGATCCGTGGTTAATGGATAAAACATGTTTCCCATGGCTAACCAGACCTGTTTCTAGGGAGTGCAAGTCAAGCTTTTTCATAGCAAGCCTAGACCCAGAGAGATAACAAACCACTGTTCTCCAGGGTAATACAGAGTTGACAGAGGAATGCAGGCATTCCTTGTTGATTATCTTGTTTTCCTCATCAATATCCCTTCATACGTTTAACTTTTGCCATTTTTCTCCCTGTATTCCTAGTTACTGTTAGAAGCGCTTCTGCAAAGACTGCTTTGAGGAAAGCTAGAGTTAAATATCTCAGGGTATTGGATACTATTTGTATATCTCAGGGTATTGGAAACTAGATGAATATCTCAGGGTGCTAGATACTATTTGAATATCGTAGGGTGCTAGATACTATTTGAATATCTCAGAGTATTGGAAAATATATGAATATCTCAGGATACTATTTGAATATCTAAAGGTGTTGGATACTAGATGAATATCTCCGGGTGTTGGATACTAGATGAATATCTCAGGGTGTTGGATACTAGATGAATATCTCAGGGTGTTGGATACTAGATGAATATCTCAGGGTGTTGGATACTAAATGAATATCTCAGGGTGTTGGATACTAGATGAATATCTCAGGATACTAGATACTAGATGAATATCTCAGGATGTTGGATACTAGATGAATATCTACGTGATATAAGAGCCAATTCCAATTAATAAATGTGTCTGTAACGACTGTATACAAGGTAATATCAACAATAATTTGTTTAATTTTCATACTCAATTTAATGGCAGAGTAAAATATGTATTTATATTTTGAATTTGTCACTCTTAGATTAATAATTTTAAACCTGAACCTAGTAGCTCGTAACCAACGGTTTTGTATCTTGTTCTTCTCATCCGTCCTATATAGTATAGAATTAATAATATCTCATCCGTCCTATATAGTATAGAATTAATATCACATCCGTCCTATATAGTATAGAATTAATATCACATCCGTCCTATACAGTATAGAATTAATATCTCATCCGTCCTATATAGTATTGAATTAATGATATTTTATCCGTCCAATATAGTATAGTGTTAATATCTCATCCGTCCTATATATTATAAAATTAATACATCATCCGTCCTATATAGTATAGAATTAATATCTCATCCGTCCTATATAGTATAGAATTAATGATATCTCATCCGTCCTATATAGTATAGAATTAATGATATCTCATCCGTCCTATACAGTATAGAATCAATGATATCTCATCCGTCCTATATAGTGTTTTTCTTCCCCCCAAAAAAATCATTTAATTATTTTTTAACATTTCACATTTAAGGTTAAAACTAGGTTCAAGTATCTGCAATGCATTAAGGTTGTAATAGAGTTTAAATGTATTGGATACAGTCATAGATATTCATTTAGATTGGTTCAAAGTTTTACAGTATCTAGGAGATAAATTTTTCTGGTAAGTTAACGAAACATGGAAAGGAAGGAAGGAAATAATTTTGACGAAAAACAACAGCACGTTATACTAAACCTTTAGCATTTCAAAATAAACCATCAGCACGTCATACTAAACCATTAGCATTTCAAACTAAACCATCAGCACGTCATACTAAACCTTTATCATTTCGAACTATACCATCAGCACGTCATACTATTCAAACTATACCATCAGCACGTCATACTAAACCTTTATCATTTCAAACTAAACCATCAGCACGTCATACTAAACCTTTAGCATTTCAAACTAAACCATCAGCACGTTATACTAAACCTTTAGCATTTCAAACTAAACCATTATCACGTCATACTAAACCTTTAGCATTTCGAACTAGACTATCACCACGTCATACTAAACCTTTATTATTTCAAACTAAATCATCAGCACGTTATACTAAACCTTTAGCAGTTCAAACTAAACCATCAGCACGTTATACTAAACCTTTAGCATTTTAAACTAAACCATCAGCACGTCATACTAAACCTTTAGCATTTGAAACTAAACCATCAGCACGTCATACTAAACCTTTAGCATTTCAACCTAAACCATCAGCACGTCATACTAAACCTTTAGCATTTCAAACTAAACCATCAGCAAGTCATACTAAACCTTTAGCAACTTATCCTTTAGCATTTCAAACTAAACCATCAGCATTTCAAACTAAACCATCAGCACGTCATACTAAAGTTTTAGCATTTCAAACTAGACCATCAGCATTTCATACTAAACCTTTATTATTTCAAACTAAACCATCAGCACGTCATACTAAACCTTTAGCATTTCAAACTAAACCATCAGCACGTCATACTAAACCTTTAGCATTTCAAACTAAACCATCATGCAGCACGTCATACTAAACCATTAGCATTTCAACCTAAACCATCAGCACGTCATACTAAACCTTTAGCATTTCAAACTACACCATCAGCACTTCATACTAAACCTTTAGCATTTCAAACTAAACCACCAGCACGTCATACTAAACCTTTTGCATTTCAAACTAGACCATAAAAACGTTATACTAAACCTTTAGCATTTCAAACTAAACCATCAGCAAGTCATACTAAACCTTTAGCATTTCAAACCAAACCACCAGCACGACATATTAAACCTTTAGCATTTTAAACTAAGCCATCAGCACGTCATACTAAACCTTTTTCATTTCAAACTAGACCATCAGCACGTCATACTAAACCTTTAGCATTTCAAACTAAACCATCAGCACGACATACTAAACCTTTAGCATTTCAAACTAAACCATCAGCACCTCATACTAAACCTTTAGGATTTCAAACTAAACCAATAGCACGTCATACTAAACCTTTAGCATTTTAAACTAAACCGTCAGCACGTTATACTAAACCTTTAGTATTATAAACTAAACCATCAGCAAGACATACTAAACCTTAAGCATTTCAAACTAAACCATCAGCACGTCATACTAAACCTTTAGCATTTCAAACTAAACCATCAGCACGTCATACTAAAGCTTTCGCATTTCAAACTAAACCATCCGCACGTCATACTAAACCTTTATCATTTCTAACTAAACCATCAGCACGTCATACTGAAGCTTTAGCATTTTAATCTAAACCATCAGCACGTCATACTAAACCTTTAGCATTTCAAACTAAACCATCAAAACGTTATACTAAAGCTTTAGCATTTCAAACTAAACTATCAGCACGTTATACTAAACCTTTAGCATTTCAAATTAAACCATCAGCACGTTATACTAAACCATTAGCATTTTAAACTAAACCATCAGCACGACATACTAAAATATCAGCACGACATTATAAAAACTTTGCATGTTCTGCTCAAAACTAGTACAATGACCTGCTCGAAATTAGCACGTTTACTTTATGACAACAAATTCTTTAGAATTAAAAACCGAAGAAAATTGGGATCGGTAAAATAGTGGTAACTTTTAGTCGTGTTTATAAAATGTATTTTTAATGTTTTTTAGTGTTTAAAGGTCGTCTTATTGGTGAATAATGTTTAAGCCAATGCAAAATAGTTATTTTGAAAATAAATAGAATTGTTGTAGTGAAAAAGTGAAAAACGTTTACAGAGATATAAGTTTAAAAATCCATTTTTTAACAAAATATTCCAAAGAACCAAAAGAATTGAGTCTTCGTCACAAACTCTACTTTTCTGTTCTCTAAGCCAATGTCGTAGACCTTAGATATTTCAAATTATGTATTTTGTTTGATTAAATAATTTAAGTTTGAAATATCAAAGGTTTCCACCATTGGGTATTATAATGTTTGCGTTTGTGGCAAAGACTCAAAACCTTTCAATCAAGATTTAGAATGATTAGAATCAATTTTGTAAACCTGCTTAGAAAGAAATCCAATTAAGATTTAATTTGATCCATGGTCCCGGCCACAATAGGATTTAATTCCAATTCATTATTAATTAAACTTTCACTTGCTCATTCAGCAAATGATTATTTTCCAAATAAAACAAAAATATCATTTTTTTTCTTTTCTAAAGGTATGTGTTTATATATTTCTCACCCTTTACTATGCGTTCCATTTTCTTTCAAGCTAGAATAAATTGTTTACAATAAAAATTTTAAAATCGTCAAACAAAATTAATTGAAAAATCTAGAATTATTTTTTTTCTTAAAAATTTGTATTTATTTTTAGCTTCCTGGTTGGACTAGTTTTCTGACTATGGGAGTCCTGTTCAGTGTTCATTATAAACTCATTTCTACTGTAAATTGTTCACAAATCTGAAAAAAAAAATTTATAGCAATTTATCTTAAAGTTAACCTAGTGAATTCTAAATATATTAAAAAGGTTAGCCTAATGAATACTTAAGAATCTTTACTAAATACATTAAAAAATAAAACCTAGTGAATTTTAAAAAATCCTTACTTTTGTATTTATTATATAATCTATATAATAAAGCTCTTCGCTCATATATATACACGTAAATATGTATATATATATGTATATATATTTACATAGCTGGCCTTAAATAAGGTCTTATAACTGGCAAATATAGGACGCATATATTATCTTTTAGATAGGACATTTCATAGTCTGAACTTTAAGTTTGTTTTGTCCATGGTTGTATTTTGTTGAGCTGCTTGGTTAGTTTGGTTTGTCCGTGGTTGTATTATGTTGAGCTGCTTGGTTAGTTTTATTTATCCATGGTTGTATTATGTTGAGCTGCTTGGTTGTTTGTTTTGTCCATGGTTGTATTATGTTGAGCTGCTTGGTTAGTTTGTATTCTGGACCTCAGAGTGATAATCCAGTCATTGTAGATTATACTGATGATACTGAGCATCCAACTGTCAGGTACAATTCTCTCTCTATTCATAAAGTAGTAATCTCTGTTACGTTCGTCCGATTGTAACTCATGAATCCCTTGAATGAATTTGTATTGGGAACTGAGTAGAATTAACGGTCTGATTTAATATTTCTAAGTAGATCGGGTGGAGTTTTATAAAAAAATTAGTTTCCAATCAAAGCTGGATTCCCAAGGAAATTTCCAATAACAGAGATGTTTGAATGAAAACTGAATTTTAAATGTGGAAATATGCATTTTGATTTTTGTCTGAATATACCTCACCATCTGCTAATTGTGGACGTCAAATACTACTGCAGTCAACGAGAATATATGTATGTTTTTACCCTTTGCTGTTGAAAATAAATCTAGTAATGATAATGATAATGATCAAATTTATAAATCTAAATAAAACTTATTTATTTGTTAATTATCTTTCTAATTTATCAAAATTCAGGGGCTTTTTGAAATTTATGATTTTTTTAGCAAATATTATAATTGTTATAAAGGAATTGAGTCTTGGCCAAAAACCCACATTTTTAAATCCAATATGTATATGCAACCTGATGGTGTAAATCTTTCATATTTTAAACTTAAATTTAATTTAACAGAATTCTACAGTTTGAAATATCTAAGGTCACAACATTGGGTTGCAAAGATCTAGGGATTAGAAATCAGACTCAATTCCTTTACAGATATCCTGAAACATCAGAGATATCCTACTCATCCTCATCAGAACCTCATCATCCTTCAAGCCGACGACCTCCACACGCCCTGGAGGACTACAACGAACCTATCCACCCTCTTCCGGACTACAGTGAACCTCCACCTCGTGATGTTAAGAACCATGTTAAACTAGATTACGCAGCTCCAGATCTAAATGTAGAAATCTATGAAGATGATTATGTGGCTCCAGATTTAGGTAAATAACTTTTATTGTCAAAAAATAAATTCATCGCTTAAAAGGAATTTAAAAGATTTAGAACGAAAACCTTAAAGTTTTGTCTGACCAAGAGTGAGTAAAGTATTTATGACATGAAACTCTTTTAAAAAGAATTTGTCCATTTAAATTATTCTCTTAAAAAATGATTGGCAAATGTTTAGTTAAATAATCAATGAAAGAATTTGTAAGTATTACATTTAAAAGCTTAGTAAAAACACGATATTTTCTACATTATTGATCGTTTAAAGGGTAGCATTGGCAATCAGGCCTGAGCTGAAAACTTTTGAATGGAATATCCTTAATCCCAATCGATTAATTAATCTGGAGATTAATAACAAGAGGAGATCAAGCATTAATCTCGATATCTACCATTCTATAGTTTTCAGCTCAGATTACTTATCCCTAACTCTAACTTATTATTTTTTTATCGTATCCATTGGTATTTCAAACTTTATAATATTTTAAAATAAATTAAAACATTTTAGATTTACACTCCTTCAGGTTGAACAGATATAGAGATCAGATCATTACAGTTTGATATGATGACTTCTTTTGTTTTAATCCTATGACGATGGGGGGGGGGGTTGTTTTTTCTAAATAACCTAAAAACGGTTTACATTAGAACGCTAAAACTTCTTCACTTTTTTAACTTTATTGTGAACAATTTTTTTTTTGATGCATAGGGTAGGGTGAAGGACGGTCAAACAGTGGATCGTGTTTTGAAAAAAAAGAAATGGTTGATAACTTTTTGATTAATGAAGCTACATGGCTAAATTTTATTTATTCAAAAATCCCTTGAAAAATGGATAAAATAACAAAATAACAAAATAACAAAATGGGTCTCATGTTAATATTTGTCAAAAGTAAAAGTAACCATTTTTTTACATTTTTTCCGACAGACTTTTTGAACTTTTGAAAACTTCCCTTACACCCTAACCATTAAAGTTAGAGGTCCATTTTTTTTTAATGAGCAGTCCTTGAAAAGTTGGACTTTATTAAATTTTGTTTTAAAACAACAATTTCATTGCATAATGAGGTTTTAATATGTGGCCTCCCTCCCTTTAATAGCAATCGTAAAGATATATTTACATACAAAGGTTTACATACATTTACTAATTTCTAAGATAAACAAAGATGTTGCGAGGTTTGAACTTAATTAAGCCTTTATATTCATAGTTTAAAGTTGCTGCTCATATTCAATTAGATTTTTGCATTTTTTGCACTTTTACTATTACAGTATTCTTTTCAGAAGGGTTTACAGCGGACAAATACCTAAAGTCAACTCCGAGCTCCGACGTGCCCAAACTGAGTACCCATCCCCCGATCAATGACATCTATGAAGAACCTATCCAAACCTATCCAACCTTTGATGATTTACCACTAGACGAAGATGTGATAGACAGGCCTATTCTCAAACCAAAGAAGAAGAAGAAGAAGAAGCATCAAACGAAGACTAGAATGATGAAACCTGATCTTGTATTTCTAAATGATGAAGATGATCAGTATCCAGACAAGGAAGTCTATGATCCTGAACCATATGTTGAGGATGAACCCTATCTAAAACCTTTCCACGAAGAATCCCCGTATCATGCTCCTTACTTTCAGGAAGATATTTATCATCAATCCTCCAAACAAAACAATCCAAAACAAATAATAAAACCACAAGATTATAAACCTTTTGAAGAGCATTACAAGCCTTATAAGAAACCTAACTATGATAAACCCAGATTTGATTACAAAGATCAAATCCACGATGAACCAAATCCATATCCGGAAGAATTTCCCTATTATGAAACATACCCGGAGCACGATAATAAACCTGAACCCGAACCTTACTACCTTGGAAATATTTATAAACCTGAGCCTTACCCTAAACATGTTTACAAACCTGAACCTGAACCCTATCATCCTGAACCTAAACCCTACCATCCTGAACCTAAACCCTACCATCCTGAACCTGTTTATAAATCTGAACCTGCTCCACCTCCCTATGGTTACAGAACCCCTAAAGAATATTATGGTTCTAAGCTAATTCCGGAGTTAGATCCAGCCCTAAAGGACCCAAACTGGAATGTCAAGGATTTTAGTACTTGGAAGGAGAACCTGGAGAACAAAGAATACGGAGGAACTCTGGCAAACCTAAGAACAAAGGGTGGATATCACCAAAACCCTGAGTCAAACAATGAACTCCACAATCCTGGATTAATCAAACCAGCAGGATATGATCCAAACACGGATCCTTACAATGTACATTACAAATCTAGACCTGAACATGAGAAGTATGAAAATAATTATGAAAACTACTATCAACCCTATCCACAGGACTACACCCAATACAAACCAGTGGTTTATGAAACTCCAAAGCCTTTCGATATATCATTCGAGGACTGGCTGGATACTTCAGGTGTTGAAGCTTTTGGTCTTCCTTCAGATGAGGTTAACCATTATCAGTATGCTCCAGTGTCCTATGATCATATTGGACACAGAAGCTTGAAAAGCCATGAATACTATGACAAACCCTTATCCAATATTGCCTCTTCTCCTTATCAGAACTACAGGCATACACAGTCCTATGAGAACTACAGGCCTACGGAGTCCTACTATCACCTTCCTAATTCTTATCAGTACTCAGATCATAAAGCTCAGGTAGATTCTTTATTGATAAATTGTTGATGAGTTATTACACTTTTTTATAATTTAATTAGATACTAATATTAAACAAAAATATTTACTGAATGTATTTGAGCCTGGCTTGAGTGCCAAGCCATCTTGTAACTTACTGAACAGTTGACAGGGATAGTTGACAGGGATAGTTGACAGGGATAGTTGACAGGGATAGTTGACAGGGATAGATAGTTGACAGGGATAGTTGACAGGGATAGTTGACAGGGATAGTTGACAGGGATAGTTGACAGGGATAGTTGACAGGGATAGTTGACAGGGATAGTTTACAAGGATAGTTGACAGGGATAGTTGACAGGGATAGTTGACAGGGATAGTTGACAGGGATAGTTGACATAATTTCAAGTGACTCCTAATCTAACTTTCATATATTAGCATATGTGCCCTTTAAACCTGTGTCTTTATTTTTTATTGTGATTTGATTGTCAATAAAAGTAAATCTGCGGATTTATTGCATTAGAAAACATGAGAGAAATTGGCAGAATTTAACTTGTTTTGATATAGCAAAACGACAATATCTTTCAACTAGGATATGGTGTGTGTTTGATCTGATATTTGATGATGATATGTTTTGTAGGATTTGTGTTTGGACCAATACGTTTTGTAATGAAAAGTTTGGCATGTTGTGAAGCGAACTCGCCGCTCTATGAGAGAAGGAGCACAATCTTTTTTAGATAAATTGAAAATATGGGATTAGTTTGAAGTTATGAGTCCTTTAACAAATTTTTATTTTGCATTGCGTTCAGGAATTTGTTTTATACATTATATCAATGATTTTGTTAGGTTGAGTCTCCTATCCTGACCCATAGTGCACTGGATGCACTGAGAACTATCAGTGGTACCAGACTCTCTTCTCACCAGACCAGACAAGTTCATATTCCTCAACACTTCATCCAACCTTCTCATCCCCAAGCTTTTTCATCCCACTTTATTCCATCCTCAACCAATCAACCCTACTCAGATAAATACCCGGAGTATTACCCTGATCCGTCCTCCTGGAACTCAACCAGGGAGGAGAGAAAACCCGAACATGAAACCTTGTTTAGAGAAACTGTGGAGGAAAAAATTCCAGATTCCAGCCCGGTTCTTTTTAACTCCAATCCTGTATCCTACGTTGTTCAACCTACCGTAGATTTTAGTGTTTCCAAACCAAGAGAAACAAATCCAACTGGATCCAACCCCAGAGCGCCTAATCCAACCTTTACAGCTGGATCTAATCTAAGAGCAGCTAAGCCAACCTTCACTGCTCAATCTGGACCTAGAGCAGGTAAACCAACATTTAATGCTCAATCTGGACCTAGAGTTAACCCCCAACGGAAATATCAAGGTTCTGATCCAAAGAGAAAATCTCCGTCAAGATCTAAAAAGTTCCGAGGTTCTAATGGTTCACTATGGAGCGGATTGTCAAATTTTGCACAAACTATTATTGATAAAACTCCAAGTCCTTTGGATTTGCTCAGTTTTGGATCTGAGAATTACAGAGAGTACAGGGAGCATCAAGGACTAAGTGAAGACTATTATAGTGATATGGATTATGCAGATTCAGCATTGGACTTTACTATTTCTGAACAGGAACCAGAGTACCTGGATATGGACTTTTCAGAGTCCGTGAATCATGTCAAGATGATTAAATCAGATCATGAAGTTGAGAATACCAAGCTTAAATCTGACCCTGACAAGCCCAATCCATCTCTTGAGGAATTCTTTCACTTAAGGAAAACCATGAAATCTTAAGATTAATTTATCTCCCGGTCTAATCCCTGTAATCCATTGCACTTAGCCTTAAACTTTGACACAAGGTTTATGACTTTAAATTTTATATAATTTATCATTGAACCAAGAAGTATAAGATAATAAAGATTTCATGATATTTATCAAACAGAGAGCTTAACAACGGAACGGAGAGAGACACATTGAATACTACTGACGTTATCCGGGATCTTGGAGAACTCAGAAATGAGGATTCAGATCATCAAGAAGAAACTATGATTGAAATCATTCCTGTGGGCTCTCAACCAGATTTTAAGGTTTTAAACGATGAGATGAGCAGCGATGATTTGACAAATCCAAAGTCATCAACTACACAGGGATTACTTGAAACTATTTGTAAATTTTCACTCTCCACCCTCTATTAAATTGTCACTGTCCACCCCACCCTCTATTAAATTTGTAATTCATTTCTTTTCTTGCAAATTATCTGTGAAAAGTCCGGAAACAGTTCCCGCCCTGTGTTCGTTTCAGATTTTTTGCAAGTTTCATGTCACGGATAAACAGGATATACAGATACAGACATTCGGAGAGTTAGGAGATAGAAGTGAAAAGGACAGCAATCAGCTGTCTAACAGTCGAAATGATGACAGCAATCAACTTCCTAACAGTCAAATTGACAGCTCTCAGCTGTCTTACAGTCTGAATGACAGCACTCAACTGTCTAACAGTCGGAATAATGGGAGTAAACAACTGCCTAAAAGTCAGAATGACAGCCCTCAACTGTCTAACAGTCGAAAGGACAACACTCAACTGTCTAACAGTCATAATGACAGCTCTCAAATGTTTAGTAGTCAGAATGACAGCTCTCAACTATCTAACAATCAGAATGACATCGTTCAACTGTCAAACAGTCAGAATGACAGCTCTCAACTATCTAACAATCAGAATGACATCGTTCAACTGTCAAACAGTCAGAATGACAGCTCTCAACTGTCTAACAGTCAGTTTGACAGCACTCAGCGCTCAGATTTCTTAGAAATGAGGATGATAAACAAGGATAATAAACAAGAGGGACATAATATTCAAGAAGCATTCAGAAACATTAATGAATCAAGTGCAGTCAACAACTCAAATTATTCAAAAGATAATGATGATGACACTGGTTCCAATGATTCGTATGTCAATGCTTTTTCGGCTTTAATCATTCCAAGTCATTCTAATAAATCCGAGAAATATTTTTATTCCAAAGAATCAGATGGTTCCAATGATTTCAGTGGTTCAGATAATTTCTCAGAAATCAATCATCCGAAACCCACTGTTGCACTTCCCATGAATATACACAAGGAAGGAATTATAAAAAGACAGTATGAAATATATTGATTTGAACAGAGGCCGAATTTAAAGAATTTGAGCCGCGGCTCAAATATGGTTGGTTCCACTTAAAATTGTATTCAATGTTTCAAGATCTAAGCGGGCACTCAATTGAAACCAGTTTTTGGCGGATTTGAGCGCGGCTTAAATTCATTAAATTCGGACTGTGGTGTTCTAAATGTATTCAGTTTATTTAATTTTAGTTTAAATCTTTAAATTGGTGTTTCTTAATTTTAAACGTCGTAATGAGGAATTTATTATTTTTAAGTTAACATTAAAATAAAAAGAGTCTTAAAAAACTGTAGCAATGCAGAATTGTATCATTTAAAGATCAATTTATAAATTTTCTTTTTAAACAATCGCAAATATAATTCCAAATTTTAGACAAGCTCTAGTTCACTGAAAACCATGTTTATGTACTTGGAGTACATAGCAGATAATAAATCAGTCTTGGGCAGTACACTGTACAATGCAGCAAAACTTTTCCAGACCAAGATGAACGAAAACGGGGATAATTAAAGTGATTCTAAATAACTTGTAATCGCAATTTTAAATACATAATTACCAGTGATTAGATAAAGTGCCAAAAACATTATGAGTTGCATTACATTGTGCTTCTAGTCATATTTTGTGATACATCAGAACTGTTAACATAAAACAATAACAAATCTAATTTGATACGTAGATTTGATTGAATAAAATGAACTAAATTCTTAAATTGTTGTAAATGAGGTTTCTCTCGAGTCTCTTCATCTTCCAATGCAGATAAATTAGTGCTGACCTAAATATATCAATACATTTTATATACCTTTATATGGCTATAGAGGCCTTTGATAAATTGTGTATGAAAACATTAATGATGNGAATATTAATAAATATAATGGCATTGAACATACCGCAACAATAACCGGTGCAGAAGTTTGGTTTTAATCGTTTTCATTGGTTTTCTTCGTTAGATCAATGTTCGTGTAGGTTTGATAATTTGATTTTTAAAAAATTTCGGCGAAGAATATTAATTAATTACTAAACCTATTTTTAAGTTTTATAGTCACTGTTAACTAATTTCGTGAGATTATTACTTTAAATTCTTGTTCGTTTATTTGGTGTTTGTGTGTGGGAACCTCAGTTTTCCAACCATATGGTAACCAAAACCTTGGCATTGAATTTCGAGCAACATTAGGCCAAATGTTAAATATAAAAATACACTTTACACCAAGAATGGATGGAACACACATAAACAAATGAATGATATACTTCACATAACTTTTAAACAACATTTAACTGTGAACAATACAATTCAATTTCACTATCTTGAAAAAAATATATGTGTTGCAAAAAGGTGAAATCCATGAAAAAGTTCGGGGAAATGCGCCAAATAATTGAAGCATGAGAGGGAATGCGATTAAACTTATACATTTTATTTGTTGTACTGATAAAAATGGCGGAGAGTAACCTAACGTTTTTTAAATGTGGTCCACACGATTGCTCGTTGGGAGATCAAGAAGTTTGTGTGGAGAAGATCATGGAAACCGCAGCAAATGTTTCTCAGTTTTGTGAAAAAGATGTTTTTTGGAACGACTGTACAGATCTGGAGTGCAAGTAATTATATTTCAGTTTAGACCATTAGGATCACAACAATAACACTCGAAACTTTATAAACTTTATAAATTTATTATATTGAGAGATTATTAATCATTTTAAATGATCATTGTTAAGACTGAATCAGTGCCGAGTTTTTAAAATAACCACTTTTGATGGGAGAAAAAAGACACCAATTGTCAGCTGTGAGATTCCCAAAGTACAGGTATTTTGTTTAGCCTTTTTTAATTGAATCAAATAACCAAATTATTTATTTTCACGCAATGGAAGTTTTATTTCGTTGGTGTATGTGCTCCACAAAACAATATATATTTTAATGCGGAGTCTAAGCTACAGATTAAACTCTACTCATAATCTGAATTTCTGATCCTTATATATTTAAAACCTGATGTTGTATTCCTTTGATAATTCAAACTATGAATTCTGTCTGATAAAATAGTGAATGGTTGATATTTCAAAGATCCCAGTGCATAAGGTAGAAATGATGACGGAAACATCTTGTAAAACTTAGATTTATTCTAGAGGAAGCGGGAAAGTTTATCCTACTATCCTCTATACCCTCCATCCACAGCAATATGGGCCTCTCTGTCAACCCTTCTTAGCCTCCTACCGCTCATATTTGGACTCGGTTATCTTACTGTTTACTACTGTGGATTCAAAAACAAACCATATAAATTAAAAACCAGGTAAACCCCATTTTTTGTTTGAAAAACCGTGCTTCAAGTAGGCGTTATTGCAAATTAGCAAATTTAATAGAATATAGGTTAAACTAAGCATAGATTATAGATTGTATGTTTTTTGACAAAATTATGGACTTCAACTGTTTCATTAAAAAACTGTCGTTTTATTTTCAAAAAAAAAGAGGGAGCATGCACGATTTACAACGGTACTCTTCAAATCCTTATATGATTAACAATGTGGACGATATCGTCGTTTTTTAAGCTTGACAAGTGTATAATTTAGTCAATTTCCTATATATAAATATTTTTTCTCCACATTTACTTTTCATCCCTTTTTGATCAGACAAAACTTTAAGAATCCTTACAACAAAAGAAAAGTAGCAAAAAAAAGTTGGGCCAGATACAGAATTTAAGGAATTTGAGAGGTCGCTAAACTATTTACCACCGATTCTAATCCTCATGATTCTTCAACTTTGAATCGCTGATTCAAGATTTGAACCGGGGGTAGATAATTTAGCGAACAAACTCAAAATCGTTTATTTCGGCCCCACGATGAATATATGAAAATGAAATCTAATATTAAATATTATAGTGTTGGTGTACAGTTTCCTCCTGCTGAAGATGAGTATGAAGATGATGAAACTTTATCCTCCTCTTCTCTAAGCTTATCATACGTGTCTGTTGTTAGAGAATAGATGATATTGTGTACAGCATAATAAATATATTATCAATAGATTGAACAATAATTTCGTTTCATAACAACACTTATCAACCTTTTCTTTATTGTTCTATTGACAATTTAGTACTCGTAAATGTCTAACAATTTGTGTCTTGCATTTTCTTTACATGATGACATCACACCTTGACATGAATATATTCCTCAGTATTTATCTAGGCTTTCTCTTGAACCACGATGACGTCATCAACCTCGGGAAATAAATGAATCCTCATGAATAAGAACTAAAGCTTGGTTTTTATTTTCACACGAATAATTCATTTTTATCCACTACACTCTTTTATTAAAGTTATTTTAACTTTACAAATGTTTTGAAAAATCGTATTTTAAAATATTCTTTTATTTACAAATTGCAGTGTATCCTTAAGGATTCACAGCTCCTATTTTTACATGTTTCCGAGAAAACATGCCGGTTTTATTTAGATAAAAATTCGGCCATTTGTTTTAGATTTCGCAATAGTATAAGCTTGAGTTTTAGATAAAACCTTACTGATTAAGTGCAGCCTTTGTAGCACACATAGATGTGTGTTCATTGTTCAGGACAAACTTTGTAAAAACACTATAAAAAGATTATCATAGATGTACATTGTACAATATATCTACAAATCAAAAATGCAAAAATTACTGGACCTTGATACAAGGAAAAGGTCAAAATTATAAAAACATCTTTTACGACTTTGAGACCTTGAATCACCTCTATTTTTGATATTTGGTTAAAGTATATACTTGGTTGCATTGTTGCATATTAGAAAAAAACCTTTTTTCATCAAAGCATCTCTTCAACGAGACGCATTCAAAATATCGGTTAAACTGAAATTTACTTAAATTTGACGTGACGTGCATAATACATATCTTTAACTGAAATTCATTAACTAGAAAAGGAATTGAGTCTTTGCCACAAACTCTGAATTTATAATCCCTAAATCTTTGAAACCCAATGTTGAAAATCTTTGATATTTCAAACTTACATTATTTGATCTAACAGAATTCATAGTTTGAAATATCTAAGGTCTACGACATTGGAATCCAAAGATATAGAGTTTAGAAAAGCAGAGTTTGTGGCAAAGACTCAATTCCTTTAGAAGTAAAAAAATTAAGTCTTTGAACTTTGAGTTGCTAATCCCTTTAAACATACTGTGACCTCACTCCATCTTTTGTATATAAATATACGAGAAAATATCCTTTTCCCTTAAATGCTGGTTTAAGATTATATTAAGGTAAAAGGTTAATACAAATGCTTCTTTAGAATTCTATTTAGATCCATCAACCAAATACAACAAGAATATAATTCTTCTATTCTACTATATTTTATCTCAATTTTAGAATTCCGACTTTAGTCAGCGCATCTTTCTGCACACAACACAATTCTAAATCCTCATACGAGAATAATATATTTTTAATGCTACATTACACTTAAATTGTAACACGGTAGATTTCTTTTGCTGACACAAAACTTCTCATTCGATTTCGCTTGCATAAAAATGCTGATAAAATGTAAATTCTTTTGTTGAAAAACATAGAATTAAAGGCAAACATTTTTTTAATAAATTTATTCAGAGTTTATCGATTAATAATTTATCTGATATAAATGTAGGGAAAATAAGTACATTCAACGTGAATCTTAAATTTTATAATTTTTATTTTCGGAAACCATTGTTTGTTTACAATAAGAAACCAGTTTTTGTTTATTTACATCAAAGAGCAAAATGCCATTCCATCGCTCAACAGATCCTGCATCATCACCTGAATAAGTTCACAGCTAAGGTAAAACTAATTGTTAAGGTCAAGAATTGGAGTGATTAAGACCAAGAATTGGAGTGATTAAGACCAAGAATTGGAGTGATTAAGACCAAGAATTGGAGTGATTAAGACCAAGAATTGGAGTGATTAAACCCAAGAATTAGAGTGGTTAAACCTAAGAATAGAGTGGTTAAACCCAAGAATTAGAGTGGTTAAACCCAAGAATTGGAGTGATTAAACCCAATAATTGGAGTTGTTAAACCCAAGAATTAGAGTGGTTAAACCCAAGAATAGAGTGGTTAAACCCAAGAATTAGAGTGGTTAAACCTGAGAGTTGGAGTGATTAAACCCAAGAATTAGAGTGGTTAAACCCAAGAATTAGAGTGGTTAAACCCAAGAATTAGAGTGGTTAAACCCAAGAATTAGAGTGGTTAAACCCAAGAATTAGAGTGGTTAAAATCAAAAATATCAATAGATTGAAC